TTGCGATTCATCAAACCCCCGGGGTTTAGTCACCTCCAGGGGAGCTGACAGAATTGAATTCTTTAACCCGCAAAGACCCAAGGGCCCCCAAATGCTATCATTCTCCCTCTTTTTACCCCCATCATGAGGCTCCATCCAAGCACTTGGCCAGCCAACTCTCCACTCTGGCTAATCAGCTTACCCACAGCAATACAAAAGGGCATTTCAGTGTCAACAAATCACTGGCTAGCCGTCGACACGCACCCTCAGAAAATAATTGAAGAAGAAACAATTTATCTACGATATCAAAAATGTTCCTAGATGAGCCTGTTTATTTTAAGGGAAAGGGCAGAAGAACTGTAAACTAAGAGCCAGGCTGAGTTGCCCATTAACCATAGGATACTGCTGGGAATCCACAGAGCTTGTATTTGTTTTTTTTTAATTTTAGATTCAGGGGTACGCATGCATATCTGTTTCATGGACATATTGTGTAGTGGTGGAGATTGAGTCTCAGGTGATCCATTCCCCAGATAGTGAACATTGTGCCCTGTAGGTAGTTTGTGAACCCTAGCCCTCCCCATTGGTGTCCCCAGTGTCTATTGTTTCCATCTTTGTGACTGTTTAGCTCCCACATGAGTGAGAACACGCAGTATTTGGTTTGCTGTTTCTGAGTCAGTTTACTTAGGATGATGATCCGGTCACAGCCCCACAGTCAGATTGTGAAGAAAGCCAGTACATGGCTAAGAAAAGAAATAAATGTTTCACTGATGCTTCTTTTGTTTTGTGGCATTGAGTCCAGCTGCTGAGATTGCTCGAGAGACAAGGTATCTACAGCAACCACTGAGGGCTCCAGGAATGTAGTAACCCTTGATCTTCATTCATTTTTCTTCATGGATCCTATGGAACGGTCCTCCCAAAAGAGCGTTCACAAACTCAAGTAAGCATGGGAAAGGAAGGCCCTCTAATCTTTGGGAGTCTCTGTTTAGCCCTACCACTGTCTTACATCATAGCTTGCATCTTAGGCAAGAAGCGTTAGATTTTCCTGGTCTCTATCATTACTATTTGTTCCATACAAACATTTCTTGGACAAAAAAAAAAAAAAAAAACGAAAAACAAAAGCCTTGCATTTCTTTCTCCCTGTTTTGTTTTTCTTCTTTGTGCTTTAGGCTTGCTCTTCTCTAACCTAAAACACTGCAAACTTCTCCTGAAGCTCTCTTACTTTGATTCCAGACTCCCTACATTTGGTCATTAAGCTTCTGCCAATATTTTCTCTTCTTTTCACATTAAAAAATAATCTTGAGGCTGGGCAAGGTGGCTCACACCTGTAATCCCAGCACTTTGGGTGAATGAGGTGGGAAGATTGCTTGAGCCCAGGAGTTCAAGATAGTCCTGGGCAACATAGTGAGACCCCAATTCTATTAATTAAAAAAATCAAAAAATTTAAAAAAATAAAATAAAATCTTGATCTCTGTAAGGTTTATTAATGATTTCCAATCAGATCAGGATCCTCCCCATAGTCTAAACTGCCTCACTTTCTCCCATTTTCTTGTCTTGTTCAAATGGAAATTTTATCAATAATTTCCAGATCAATGATAGTTCAGAAGACAACCAAGTCAAAGTGGCCAAGGGCATAAAGCCTGGAGGGTGCTCTAAGAAAGAAACTTACCCACAGCAATTCAAGAAATACCACTATTAAATGATGTCAGTAAGATTGAGTGGTGAGTTGGAACTAATAGGAGGAGATGTATCATAGGTTCTCATATTTAGGTTAAAATTCATAAAAGGTCAAAGCACAGGATGATGGATAATGTATGGTAATTTTAGATTATTGTGACCAACAGATCACAATGGGCAGTGCTGATGGATGCAGCTCACAGCTATACAGTTGCAAATGTACTCAGGGGGTTGGAGCAGTGGCTCACACATGTAATTCCAGGACTTTGGGAGGCTGAGGCGGGAGGATCACTTGAGGCCAGGAGTTTGAGACCAGCCTGGGCAACATAGCAAGACCTCATCTCTACAAATTTTTTTTTAAAAATTAGCTAGGCCAGGCATGGTGGCTCAAGTCTGTAATCCCAGTACTTTGGGAGGCCGATGTGAGAGGATTGCCTGAGCCTGGGGGTTTGAGACCAGCCTGGGCAACATGGTGAGATCTCATCTCTACAATAAATCAAAAAATTAGCCAGGCATGGTAGTACACACCTGTAGTTCTGGCTACTTGGGAGGCTGAAGCGGAGGGATCGCCGGAGTCCAACAGGTCAACACTGGGGTGGCCGTGAGCATCAATGCACTCCAGCCTGGGTGATGGAGTTGGACTCCAACTCAAAAAAAAAAATTAGCTAGGAGTGGTGCTATATGCTGTAGTCTTAGTTCTTCAGGAGGAGGCTGAGGCAGGAGGATTACTTGAGCCCAGAAGCTTGAGGTTACATTGAGCCATAATCACACCACTGCAGCCTAGGTATGCATTTAAAAAAATGGACTCAAGGAAAAAATATATACTCAGGGTATCACATTTGCAGTATTTGCTTTTGCCAAGGGAGACAACTGTTTTAATGTCCCGTAGGTTGGCCTGATCTTATCTGGAGGATGTGTCAGAGCATCACATTTGCAGAGAAACTTTGACTGATGGGAGTAGGTTGGAGGAGGAATTTCTGGGTGGTGAGGATTACAGGAACTATGTCAGAAGAGGATTTATTCAAAGATGTGGGCATGTCTCTTTGGCAAAAAGAAACTAAGCTGTCATTCTCCTCTTAAGTGGCTGGTGGAAGACCAGTAATCACAAACTCAAATTTTCAAAAGGCTGGGCAGGAACACGGATGAGAGAAACAGGCCATGAGTAAGAAAAGAAAAAACTCCCATAGTGATATGTCACTAGAATGACACCCAGCCTCGGAGCTGGAAGGGAGGCCCAGGGAGTCGTGATGTCTGAGCGTGATCTCCCCTGGTTGCTGGGATGTATGAATGTGGGTCTAGTGCTGCCATCTTTTCTGGTTTCTCAGGAGAAGCCAGGATTCCAACTTTTTTATATAACACCTCTCAATTTTTAATTTTAGCAGCTATTTCAAAACGCTTGAAAAGACACTGCAGTCCATGTTTAACATGTCTATGGGCGGGTGGCCACTGAGGGTTGCCAGTGCCCAAGGTCTACAGGAGACGATTCTTGGTTCCAACAGAGTACAGTACGAAAACGCATGAGTGGAAGATTTTGCTTGGGTTGTGAAAGAACATTCAAGTGTTTAGGATCCATAACCAGAAAAAAGGCTCCGTCTTGGTTCTGAGCAATGAGAAATCATCAAGAGAATTTTGGATGATTGTATACGAGAAATGTTGAGAAATGATTTCCTCCTGAGGCATGAATGGAATGTTGAACCAAATTATATTACAGTTATACCTTCACACCAAGAGAGTGGCTTACAGTTTACAAAATGCTTTTCTGTCATCTCTTATTAAAAGTTATTAGAACAGTCCTTTGAAGTAGAAAAGTAGGTATTTCTATTCTACACACGAGTAAGCTGAGTATATGAGATATTAAATAACTCAGGAAAGGTCATCCAGGAAACTGGCAGCAGGACTACGTCAGATGACTCAGGTCATCCTGCTCCAAATCCCTCAGCTACTTCTTAGTCAGACTCTCAGGCTCTAAGATTCTATTTATAGTCACGCCTTCGACTGGGTTTGTTCATTGTTGCTTTCCTGTGGTCAGCCCACTCTTTCCAAGTCATCTCCTGCACATTTCCATATTCCTAGAAGGCCTTATCCTTCATGATTTCTTGTTGAATTTCTCCCAACTTGACTCTGTCAGTTTCGGGAATGTCCCCCAACTCTCAATGCTTCAAACTCACCCTTGACATATATTTGTCCCAAATGCTTGCCTTTCTTATGTCTTCTCCATATTTGTCTATAAGGATATGGAAGATGTGAGCAGAGGTCAAATGTGCCCTCAGAAAGAACGTCCTCTTCTTGCTTTGCTTAGCTTAGAGGGCTCCAGAAGCCTGAGCATCATTTAGGGGAGATGGGAGGGGAAAAAAGAAGTCAGGAACTTCTCCCTTCTGGCAGTGGTTTGCAACCCTTTTGGGTCACAGACCATTTGAAGTAGGTGGTGAAGACTACAGACTCCATACCCCCCTCCCCCAAAATGTATATGTGATTTCAGGAATTTTCCAGATTCCCTGGTGCCTGGTAACTGAAGGAAATACAGAGACAGTATTGACAGTATTGACAGTATTTATCCATGAACATAGTCATACATACAAATGCCCACATATACACAGGAGTTGGTACTTACCAACAAATAGTCAAATCATCCTGTACGTCAGCCAGGAGTAAAAGAACTTGTCATCAACCATGGCTTCTAGTTCTCATAGTTATCTCTACTTCTTTCCAGAAAGTTTGATTTTGACAAAAGCCAGCTGGTAGCCTTTTCCTTGAATGCCTGATGTAGGAGATACAGTAAAGAAGATTTGGTTTTCTGTATTTCAGGCTCATCAAGTCAAAGTTGAAATATGCCATTTTTCCTTGGGTTGAGGTGAACCTTATCTGGGCATCACACACACACACACACACACACACAAATTATGGAGAAATTGCTGACTAAGCAAAGTTTCCAAATGACTTGGCTTGGCTAAGACATAGGCTTTTAAAAATGTGAGCCCTGCCAAATGTTTTTCTGTGTTGACCCATGGGCATACACTAAGTGCAATGACATTTTCTAATGCACTATATTTAAGCCTGTACGGCCAAATGTCATTCAACATGAATTATTACACCTTGCATCTGTCATCTACAATGAAAGACAAAAATGTGTAGAAAATGGAAGCCATGCATAGAAATAGGTAAGGGAAAGGAAAAAAATCCCAAGAATGTTGCTGCATGCAGCCATGCAGGAAGAAGACTATTTTTATTTTGTTCTGATTGTTTTGTTTTGGTGATCTTGCTGGTCAAATGACCTATTAAGAATATTTCATAGAGCTAATGTTCTGACGCTCTAATCTCTCTAGACAAGGTTCATATTTGTGTGAGTTACTTATTCTCCCTTTGTTGACTAAGTCAATAATCAGAATCAGCAGGTTTGGAGTCAGATTGACAGGGATAAGCAGCCTAGCTCGGGAGAGGTGAGTATAAAACCCCATGCTGGAAACAACCATCACAGAAGTTCACGCGTCCCAGGCAGGATGGCTTCTCATCGTCTGCTCTTACTTTGCCTTGCTGGACTGGTATTTGTGTCTGAGGCTGACCCTGCGGTAAGTGTTTGATTCTGGGAAGCCTCATTTATTCATTTAAGATGTAAACTCGAAGTAGAAGTCAATCCTTTCACCTTTGCCAGCCAATTTTGTTTCTAGGACAAGGGTTTTCAGCATCTATTTTTAATATCATTGATTCAAAACTCAAAAAATGAAGTTCTGCAGAGCTTACTGAACTGGGGTTTAGACTCTGGGCCCTCTCCCTCGTTGCTTTGGTGCACGGGGTTTGCAATGCCTGGTACCTCAATTTCTTCAGCTAGATGAAAGAAATAAAGATATGATATTAATGAAGCTGTTAATATTGGATTTTCAGAGAAGCATCCCTTCATAAACTTTATTTGGGGGAACAAATGGCATGAGATTATTTTCTGACCCTGTAGCTAATCAAAATGTGTGCATTGATTAATCTTTGAAAGACTTGGTGAACAACAGTCTAGTCAGATATCTAGTTCCTAAATCCTCTAGAAGAATAAACTAACACTACAAAATAGACCCGGAGGTAGTCCGACATTATTTCACAGCAACTAGTAAGAGGGAATTACTGTAGCCACACTGACTAAAATGATCATGGGAAAAACGAGTTGGCCCTATATATGGGACATTGCATCTTTTTAGTAATTCCACTCAGATGAGGAGGTTTAACAAAGTAGCTGTTCTCAGAGGGCCCATTTTCTCTCTTAAAGTTCATTAAATACATCCCTGGTCAATAGCAGCATGTCTGCAGGCAGAAACCATTTTTGTTTTGGAAACAATCATGTCTGTGTTGTACTAAATAAGGAAGCTCATTAATTGTCAATACTTATGTTCCTGATAATGGGATCAGTGTGGACTTCCTCTTTTGTTCCAGTTTCTAACACCATAAAGAATAAATCCTTTCCTGCTGACCAACTTTGCTAACTTCTCACTTGTCTTCCCAATGTGCAGGGCCCTGGGGAATCCAAGTGTCCTCTGATGGTCAAAGTACTAGATGCCGTCCGAGGCAGCCCTGCTGTCAATGTGGCTGTGAAAGTATTTAAAAGGGCTGCTGACGAGACTTGGGAGCCATTCGCCTCTGGGTAAGCCCTGTCAAGAACCTTTCCATGGGACTTGGTTTTTTCTTCCCTCCACTTGTTAGAGAGAGGCTCACGTCATCCACTAGAGAGTCTATAAGGATATGGAAGATGCAGACAGAGGTCAAGTGTGCCCTCAGAAGGATGCCCTCTTCTTGCTTTGCTTAGCTGGGAGGGCACCAGGAGCCTGAGCATCATTTAGGGGAGATGGGAGGGCAAAAAAGGAGTCAGGAACTCCTCCCTTCTGGCAGTGGTTTACAACCTTTTCGGGTCACAGACCATTTGAAGTAGGTGGTAAAGACTACAGACTCCATGCCCCCCCCAAAATGTGTATGTGATTTCAGGAATTTTCCAGATTCCCTGGTGCCCAGTAACACCCAAGCTGAGAGTCTGGAATTTTAGGGAAGATGTACAATGGTTATTAACTCATGACTGAAAAGAAGGAAATTCGGAGATAGGATTGACAAGACACCTGTCTATAGTTTAACTAGACCACCCAGAAGCCAGGACTTCTGTCTAATGAACACTTCAGGGAACTTACTGTGTGCAAGGCTGAGGGATGTCAAGCTCAATAAGAAAAACACAGAAGAAAGAGACATTTGAAGCAAAGTCCAGTCACTGACTGACCTCATAGTCACCCAGTGTCATGTGTAAAAATGACTTGTCACCTTCATTAGGTGCGTTACAACTTTCACAGAGTACGCCTACCTCCACTAGCAAGAATTTCAAAGAAAATACATGTTAATAAACCTAAACAACCTAACCTAAAAAAGAATAACCAAGAAATGCTCAGCACCAAGTAGAAGAGGAATTGCTAAGTATTTATGCCTTCTGTTGGGTTTTAATTGAACCTCAAGAACCACACTCTGATTCTTCACCCATCATAGGGAAGATATTGTCTTTGGTCTGGCTTTAAATGAGTTTTTATTTGTTAATTCATTTATGTTTACAGAAAATGCCAAGCACAATATGGAAAGTGGTTAAGAGACTATTCTAAGAGAGAGATAGAATGGACACCAAAAATATTCAAATGTTCTTGTTTTTTCTTGTATCAAGAGCAAAAAGAAAAAAGGAAGTGAAAAGAAAGGAAGGGGGCACGATCAGAGTCAGTAAAGACAACTTCTATTTTTATCTGTCTTCATTTTTATAGTCTAATGGAGAACAATTTCTTTTTTTTTTTTTGATTTGGAGTCTCATTCTGTCATCCAAACTGGAGTGCAGTGGCCGCTCCTGGCCACCGCAGCCGCGACCTGCTGGGCTGCGGCGATCCTTCCGCCTCAGCCTTCCAAGTAGCCGGAATTACAGGCGTGCGCTACCACGCCCGGCTAATTTTTTGATTTTATTGTAGAGATGAGGTCTCGCCTGCCCAGGCGGGTCTCGAACCCTCGGGCTCAGGCAATCCACTCACCTCAGCCTCTGGAGAACAATTTCTAACATTCAACTATTGAGCTGGTTCTTACATGGAAATGTAAGTTGCCTAATATTTGTTGCTGACAAAGAATTGAATATCTCTTTGTTTAGGCTTCCCACTGTGTGCACAAATGACACTGTCTTTGGAGGGTATCTTTACACCACAGAGGATAGGAGTGAGACCCTGCTGTCCTGGGAAATCAGAGTTATAGCTCCTTCCAGGGATAGTCATGAACTTCCACCCAATCATTAACCGTGAATCACGAGGACATTAAAAAAAATTTTTTTTTTTTTGGTAGAGATGAGGTCTTGCTATATTGCCCAGGCTGGTCTTGAACTCCTGGGCTCAAGCAATCCTCCCGCCTTGGCCTCCCAAAAGGCTGATATTACAGGCATGAGCCACCACTCCCATTCACAAGAATTTTTTTAAAAGTAAATATTATACCTATATTTTGTTCACATAAGAGAAAAAAATCTATAGAGAGCTTTTTGAAAAGTTTCTACAAATTTCTTGCCATTTAATTTCAGACAGTTACAAGAGTTTTTTTCCTCCTGATTTGCTTGAGAGAAAATGTATCTAACACACATACACAGCCACACACATACACATGAGCCTGTGTGTGGAGTGTCACTTTGTCATGCCCTTGATTCCCTTCCTGCCTAACTTAACCCAGGTGTTCATACCTTCCAGGAAAACCAGTGAGTCTGGAGAGCTCCACAGGCTCACAACTGATGAGGCATTTGTAGAAGCGGTGTACAAAGTGGAATTAGACACCAAATCCTACTGGAAGGCGCTTGGCATCACCCCGTTCCATGAATACGCGGAGGTGAGTGTCTAGACTACTGAGTTGTTTCTAGGTTTTGTGCTGAAGCTCAGGAGATGCACAGTCTGCACCTTACCATGGAAATGTTATAAAGAAAGTGCTGAATGACCCCAGTTGACAATCAGAAACCCACAACACACTGAGAAACAAACGTTCTCTGGAGTCTGGTGAAAATTTATTTAGTTACATGATCTGAACTTGGTGCTGTTTCAGTTCATTCACTCCATGCCATACACATATTTGTTTGCTGAAGAAAGAATATGTTTAAGTATGAGACAGCCCTCCAGACCCCACTTAGGATAATGTAACAAAAGAAACATGAGCCATGTTTTTCTCAAAACCCTGAACAATTCTCCATTCCAGAACACATCTGGCCCCCCAGAGGTTTGGATAAACAATTCTTGGCGATGCATATACAGACAGTAAATTCAAAATAATAGTGGCAACACAATAGATAACATTTATCAAGCATCCATCATGTGCCAGACATGATTCTACATGTTTTCTATATTTAACCTACTTAATCCTCATGAACAAGCTATTGAGGTCCGTGCTACTATTACCCCATTTTGCAGATACAGAAAGTGAGGCAATGGGAAGTCAAATAACGGTCAAAGGTCACATGGCCAGAAAGTGGAGGAGTAGAAATGTTTGCAAATAGAGTTCAAGCTAAGTCCAGCCTCAAATCTGGGACATCTCAGCGTGTTTCAGGAAGCATTTTCCCTGTAAAAAGCCAAAAAAACCCCACCACATTGATAACGCACTGTATTCCTCTGCTTATGAAGTGGAAAGGATTCTCAGACATTTATACTTGGGCCCAATCTCCCTGCCTCCCCCTCGTCTTAATTTCTTAAGTCATTTAAAACAGATGGCTGTCATGGAAATGGAATCCAGACATGTTGGTCAGAGTTAAAGCTCAACTAATTCCATCAAAAAATAGGTCATCATAAAAGGAATGATTTTCTCTGGTTTGGTCATGGATGAGACTTCCATTTGACATTAAATGATACTTTTCAGTAGATGGTGTTACCAGGGAAACTATGGGGGCCTGTTTGACTTCTGGGGCTCACAGTTCACCATGCATCTACCAAGAAGCATGTCTCTGGCTCCTCCTCGGCCAGGTGGCAAGACCCTGAGCCTGTTGGAGCAGGTACAGGGTTTGGGCGGTGCCCACCACAAGACATTGATTTCCCCTAGGGTCTCAGCCTCTAGCCTTGAGCAACGGGTCTGCATGCCGGGGACCCTTGTCTGCCCGACACCTGGGTCTCAGCCTGACGGAACCATCTGAAGAGATTCACTGCCATACTGTCTATGATATGTCACTCCTTTTCATCAAGATCTCAGCTTCCTTGTCTGTTATTCACTCTTCTAGTATTCATTCAACAAACATTTCTAAAATAAAATCCTTTCATAGGTTTAGCGTTCTGCTGGATGCTAGACATTTGGAAGTGAAAACACATCCTTGCCCTTGCAGTGGAGGAGAAGGGACTGTTATAAAACAGATTAGGCAGGGCCATGAGCCCAACTTGTACCCAAATGGTCATGGGGAACAAGAGTCAGTAGTGAGACACGAATTCCAGTACCTTAACTCTACGACTGGTGCAGGGTGCGCTCCACCATGAGCTCTTTCCTTGTGACTTCTGATAAAGGGCTCCCAGAAAGTTGCATTTTTCAGAGCTGGTCACCTCTTCCTAGGACAACGGCCCAGGAGTTCTCATTAGATTTAGCAAGGAAAAGTGGGAAATTTCCTTTGGAGCTCATGGGCCTCTTTGCTTTATGGATTTTTTTTTTTTATTATTATTTGGAGTCTCACTCTGTCACCCAGCCTGGAGTGCAGTGGCTGCTCCCGGTCACCACAGCCTCGACCTGCTGGGCTTTGGCGATCCTTCCCCTCAGCCTTCCAAGTAGCTGGAACTACAGGCGCATGCTACCACGCCCGGGCTAATTTTTTTTATTTATTGTAGAGATGAGGTCTCGCCTGCCCAGGCGGGTCTCGAACCCGCGGGCTCAGGCAATCCACTCACCTCAGCCTCCCAAAGGAGCGGGATTACAGGCTGAGCCACCGAGCCCGGCTGCTTTATGGATTTTTGAACACAGATGATGCCTCTTACAATTTTTTTCAAGAAGCATCAAGTAGGACTGAAGGCCAGTGTTGCCAAAAGGGAAAAGAAGTTTTCCCTAATGCTTCAGGGAATTGGCCTTAAGGGGAGCCCTTCTCCCACAGAGAGATTCTTGGGGGGTCCTCCCCTCCTCTTGCTGGATGTTTTGTGTTTGTTTTTGGTATGGTCCACTCAGATCTTTTTTCCTCCTGTCCCTGAGTCATTCAGGTTTCCTTTACCCATATTTGGAACAAAATGCATTTATCCAGAGTGTATCCAAAGCTCAGCTCAAGGCCTGTATAAAAAAGAACAAAATTGAACATGTCCTCACTGCCCGCCACCTCTCTCCTGAACCAGATTCATCCCGACATGCCTCTGAACAGCTAAACCATCCCTGCACATGAATCTCAGACACTCTGCTGAGTTTGACAGAAGCACCGGTTAAACAATTTGCCCAGCGTGAAAGCTAAAATGAGTTCCATTGCTTGCATGCATGTTTCCAAATTCCACCAAGATGTTGCACGCTCTGCTCGTGTTGTCAATACAGCCCTACGGTGCTTTGACTTCATATTTCTTTTTCAAATTTAAATTTTTATGTATTTATTTTTTAAATTTTTTTGTAGAGATGAGCTTTCACTATATTGCCCAGGGTGGTCTCGAACTCCTGGGTTCAAGAGATCCTCCTGCCTTGGCCTCTCAAAGTGCTGGGATTACAAGTGTGAGCCACTGTACCCGGTCGCTTTTACTCCATATATAATTACGTGTTCTATACATCAAAACGTAGTTTTTCACGTTAGAAAATGCAGAGAATAGTGGGAATAAAGTCTCTGGGCTTGGAGACAGGAGTCTTTCCTTCTTTGTGTTGTTTTTCACTGCATAGACTGGAGCAACACACAAATTCAAAAGATGGTTTGTTTATGTGTAATATGAGACAAATGTTCCCTTCCAACTCCAGAATTCTAGGTCTCTAATTGTGTGGTGAGGTTGGCAGTCACCATTCTCAGCAGACCTTCAATCACTGAATGCCAGTTTTTACTTTCCATCTTTTTCTTTTTTTCTTTTCTTTTGACTTGGAGTCTCACTTTGTCACCCAGGCTGGAGTGCAGTGAGAAGATCACAGCTCACCGCAGCCTTGACCTCCTGGGATCAGGTGATCCTTCTGCCTTAGCCTCCCAAGTAGCTGAGACTACAGGGACATGCCATCACGTCCGCTTAATTTTTTTAAATTATTTTTTGTAGAGACGAGGTCTTGCTATGTTGCCAAGGCTGGTCTCAAACTCCGAGGCTCAAGCAATCCTCCCACCTTGGTTACCCAAAGTGCTGGGATTATAGGTGTGAGCCACCATGTCCAGCAATCCCCACCTTTTTCTAAAACCAAGAAAACAGACAAAAGCCTTTGGACTCTCTGCGATCTCCCTCGTTCAGGCCTATGCCACCCTGATTTTGGTGTGAATTTGCAAAAGACCCGATTCTACTGGAAGTCATGAAAAACTCGTTCGTAGGACCACACAAGGCCAGTGTGTTTGAGCTTTTACTTTTTGTTCAAACTGTTCCAAAAAGTAAGACAATAACATAAGAATAATCAATTTGGCCCTGGGCTGGCAGTGGTGTGTCTGTCTGCGGGTCACCTCGGTTGGGCGACTTGGAAACAGAGCCTGTCTTCTCCCCTAGGTGGTGTTCACAGCCAACGACGCGGGTCCCCGTCGCTACACCATCGCGGCTCTGCTCAGCCCCTACTCCTACTCCACCACGGCCGTCGTCAGCAACCCCAAGGAATGAGGGACTTTTCTTCCAGCGAATCTGAAGGAAGAGGGACAGGATTTCATGTAACCAATAGTATTCCATTTTTACGAAAGCAGTGTTTTCACCTTATAAGCTACTTTAGAAACTCAGGCAAAGGCAATAAAACATTCCCGTGAAAAGCATTTCTCACTTTATTTTATTTTATATATATATTTTTAAAACGTTTTTTATTTTAAAATTGTGGGGTACAGTTAAGAGTTAGGTATACAAATATGCATCGTTCAGGTACCCTTGTGTCCCCCCCGTCCCCAGACAGATATTGACCACAGTTAATCCCACCTCCCTTTCCCTCCCTTATATTATTTTTGACTTTATTTTATTATAAAGATATAGGGTGCAAGTCAGGATTAGGTACATAAGTAATGTGTGTGCAGGTGAAGTCTGGGCCTCCAACTGGTCCTCACTTCCCCAGGCACCCTTTGTGATTTTATTTGCCCCTGACAATGTCCCACGATTGCCGATCCCTCCCTAGTGCTATTGTGATTAATGTTCAGGTCCCACTGATGAGTAAGAACATGTGGTATTTGTTTCTTTGTTTCTGTGATAGATCACTAAGTGTGATGGTCTCCAACTCCATTGAATTTGCTTCGATGTCCATTGTTTTGTTTCTCTATGGCTGTGTAATATTCTATCATGTATACGTACCACATTGGAGTAGGCAACCAATTCTTTTTTTTTTTTTTTAAGTTGCAGTCTCACTGTGTTGTCCAGGCTGGAGAGCAGTGGTACACTCATGGCCACCCCAGTGTCGAACCGCTGGGCTCCGACGATCCTTCCACCTCAGCCTTCCAAGTAGCCGGAACTATAGGCGCGTGCTGCCACACTTGGCTAATTTTTTATTTATTGTAGAGACGAGGTCTCGCCAAGTTGCCTAGGCTGGTCTCAAACCCGCGGGCTCGGACAATCCACTGTCCTCGGCCTCCCAAAGTGCTGGAATTATAGGCTAAGCCACTGAGCCCGGCCAGGAACCAATTCTTGATCATATCTCCAAAGCACGTGCCATAAAGGATAAGATAGACAAGTGGGACCTCATCAAACTGAAAAACTTTTGCACAGGAAAAGAAACCATCAAGAGAGTGGGAAGACAACACACAGAATGAGAGAAATATTTACTAATTGTATATCTCACAAAGGCCTAACATCATTTCATTTTAACTTAATTTCTTTTATTCCCTCATTGTTCTCTGTAAAAAAATAATCCAAATTTTGCAGAGAAGCAAATGAATTCTAGAAAGTCTCTGGACAGAACTCTGGGAGACAGCCACTCAAAACATACATCCTGAAAGTGAGAAAGTTTTACTTTCCTGTAACCGTCAGTGAATAGCAAAAGACAAATTCTAAGGACCCATTTCTTTACTCTGGGTGATTCTCTTAAGTGCTTTGCTGATTGCAAGAACCGCACAGCTCCTGTGGAACATATCTGCCACCTCTCAGGCCTTCTGACCAGTTCAGACCAGCTCCACCCTACAGTCTGCTAGTTAAGGCGAACAACCAAAGAGTCCCACACACCCAATTTACTTAGACCAATCTAAAATTCACGAGTGGAGAACTAACATGTGCCGGACCTATTTTAAGTGCTCTGAACATAAAGAATAGGACCTCATGTCTGCATTGACTCAGAGAGCTCACGGTCTTTTGAGAAGATCATTGTTCCATCGTGGTTTGACAGAGGCTGTGGTACAAAGCACAGTGAGGGTATGAAAAAGAGAAGCAACTTAGAGAAGTCAGAGAAGGACTCAGAATAAGTGACTCAGCTGTCATTTAAACTAAGGGTTGGTATTTGTCAGGTAAGAAGGGAGAAGTTATTATAGGTAGAGAGAATAGAGTTTGTAAGGCCAGGCAAAGTGAAACAAATTGATAAACTGTGGGAACACAGTGATTCAGAATGCTGAAGGGTAAGGGTATGAAGATGGGCTAGGTTGTGCTGCTGTAACAAACAACCCCACATCTCAGCAGCTTAAAAAAGTCAAGGTGTATTTCTTATTTACCAAGTCCAATGTACAAGTTCTTGCTCTGAAGACTTCAGGGTAGCTTTCCTCAAATGGTGACTCTGGGACATAGTTTGATTTTGTCTGTGGCTTCAAGGTCATCCTGGCGACATCTAGCCAGTGTTCTAAAAGAAGAGAGAGAGAATGGTACTAGCACTCTCTGTACTGAAGTGTCACTCATGAGTCCCACTGACACCTCACTGGCCAGAGCTAGATGCATGGTCCCACCTAGATGCACCAAGAAACGTGACTCCTGGCTGGGAGACTTTTCCTAGGACAACTCTACATTCTGGAAGAGGCACACTAATCTGATTGGTCAACAAACATCTCTGCCACAGTAGGATTGAGAATGGTTGGAAATGAGGCTGGCGTGAAGGCTGGCTTTATCTACCACCTATCAGAGCTATGAATTTATCCCAAAGGCAACAGGGATCCATAGAGGGGAACCTTGACACTGGTCCTCGTGGCTGGGGCAAGGATAGTTACTGCTTGAACAATATCTCCAACCAGTATTCTCCAGTAAAACACACACTCCATGAGTCAGACACATGGCTCAGGTCTAAACATACCTTGGGAGTCTTTCCATTTTCCTCCAAATTCAAAACTAAAATCTTTCACCCTCCAGTTGACTGTATAGAGAGAACCAGAAATCCGAAGAGAACGGAATTTAGGTTTGGATTTTTTAAACAGGTACTGAGTCTCTACCAAATACATGTCAACATCAGTATCTCTGAATCTGTTCAACATTGTTAGCAAGTCCTTGTTCCATGGATAATGGTTAATCTGCATCAAGCTGCCATTTTTGTAGATTTAATGGTCAAATATTGGCAGTTTCAAAATATAAGACCCACCATGATTGTATTGGTCACTAACCTGCCTGTTTACAGAATGCCACATTTCTATCTGACTGCTGTTAAATAGCTATGGATTTTTATAATAAAAACAGGTTAAAAATATGAATTCGTTTGAAAATCTTGCTGATGTGAAGAAGAACTGTGGGGAGGAAAGCTAAATTCAGTTCAGAGAGATATACGAGAGGGACTCAAAAACGACTAGAATTATCTTTTGGAGGGCAGGCGCCTTGTAGTACAAGCTAGGTAAGTGTCCTTGGAACCCATCGGCACCAGTGTACCAGCTAGTGTTGTCGTGAGAGGCTGCATTCAGCTTCAGTGAATTTTTAAAAATTCTTCCAATGCACGTGCCCATTTCATGATGGGTGATTTACATGAACAACCTGCCCACACTGCACTGAGTACCCAGCAGTTTCTGACCAGAAACGGCATGACCCCTGTACCCGACCCTCCCTTTTCACCCTGGATGCTTCCCTGGATGAAAAAAGTCCCCAGAGGGAAAGGTTTTGGCAATGTGGAAGGGGTGAAACAAAAAATGGCAGAAGCACTAACACACATCCAAATTGATGAGTTCAAAAACTGTTTTGAGCAGTGGAAAAAAGCATCTTGATAGGTGTATCGAATGAAACAGAGTGTACTTTGAAGGTGACCGAAATTTAAACATGTAAGAATGCACAATTTTTTATAAATAAATTCCAGGGTTTTTTGGAGGGGGTTCTCCCTTTGTACAGCATCTCTCTCTCAGGTACACATGCACACACACACACCCTACTACTTCTGTTTCTCTGGAGAACTCTGACTAATACAGCGGCTATACTGTCATCCATCCTTTGAAAATCCCTGTGTATGATGGTAGGGAGGCCTTGAGGGTTCTTGAGCAGGGGAGTAACACAATGGAAGTTGAGTTTAAGAAAAGGAAGCTGGCAAGAATGACATCATGAGATTGACTGGGAGAAGAAGGTAGGGGAATGGATGATGATGCATTTGTAGAAATGAAGGCTTGAAGTGATGTGACTTTGCATTCAGGTGGTAGACATGCAAATGAGTAGAAGGCATACATATTTGATTTTAAAATATATACGTATTGGAAATGGGTTTGATTTGCATTCTACAAAGAAAAATCATGAGGTGGATTGAAAAATAGCCAGGACCTTACGGGGCGGGGGAATGAATGATGAGGAATTAGTACCATTCACCTATGTAGACTTTCTACTATCTGAACCAATAATTTATATCCCGATATGAAAACATAAAATTAATCTTTGTGCCAGGCATGGTGGCTCACACCTGTAATCACAGAACTTTGAAAGGCCAAGGTGGGAGAATCATTTGGGCCCATGTTCAAGACCAGCCTGGGTAGCATAGTAAGAACTCATCTCTAAAAAAAAAAAAAAAAAAA